TTGATGTAGGTAAGGACACATCAGTAGGTGAATCAGAACTTGATATATACGGAGAGTGAGGTGTCGAAATCTATGACAAACAATAACCCAAAGATTTTATACAAAAAAGTGGTAGACTGGCTAGAATGCTGGAGGGATACAGGTAAGCTGGAGAAGGGGATCTAAAATGTATCATGCTTGCATTTTGGGTGAGGGTCCAGTATAAGTGTCAACATCCAGCAACCCCTCAGCAGGATTTATCCCCTTAAAGCATGCATACTCCAAGCAACAAATAAAACGTGAGATGAGATTTTGCGTAATCTTTCATTTTCAAGTCCTCATTTAGTCTAAAAGTTAAAATTACATTGAAACTGCATTACTCATTCACCCCTGAAGTTTCATAATTAACTACTCCAAATTTTGAATTGGAAATGAGTGAAGCTTGTCACTGACCACTATACTGTATTGAGAAATAAATCACAAGTTTTGCACAATTGGATCAATAAAATCCAATTGTGTACATGTGAAAGCAGGATATTTAAGGTCCCTGGAAGGGTATTTTCCAGTATAGGTTATAGACAATATAAAAATGTGATAGCAGTATGGCCCAGAGGAGTATAGGATGGTTGACACCTACTTAGACCGGCCCGTAGAAGACTCCAGTATGTAGGATATAGATCTACAAAGTACCTTTACACAAATCGGTGACATTCAGTTTTTGGAAAACTGTGTTTTTTGTATGATTTCATGTTTCATCCATGGAGATTTTCATGGCGATTATTTGTGATATTGATTTTTGGATTTCTATGTTAAGTTAAAACAATTCATTTTGTATTCTGCAATTGCATTCAGCAGTAATAAATGTTACACTTAAAGTTTTAAAGATTTGTTTTTCATTTATTCAGGATTATAAATCTATGATTTATTTATTTCACAACAATTGTGAGTGTCCATACTTAATGGTCACTGATTACCATTATTAAGGTTAAGGGTACCACTGCATCAGTTTTAATCGCGAAGAAGAGTTCCACTAAAAAAGAGTTTTTTTCTAGAGTAACTTCCCCTGTCAGGTTTTTCATATTCTTTGTGGGCCATAAATTGGATACTCGTTTGGTGCTGTACTCGTATGATACTGATGAATTGTGTAGGTAGTTTGTAATAATATAAAGATTCCCTATTCATTCCCAGCAGTTTTCCTGTTTTCTTTTACAGTATTTCTATTTTCAAACATCCAAATTTCGAAAACTACTGTATGGAAAGATGAGATTTTTATGATTTTTTTTTAAAGGTCTTAAACAAATGTTTTATAATAGAGACATTGGTTATACATAATTGTAATATAGTTTGACTTATTGGTACCCCTTACCCTAAGTAATCTACACACAGCTCAATGTTGTACTGATGGCAGTTACGACACAGTGAAATCTGCCTAATCCAGCATCCTGTGGTACAAATCATATTGGTTGAATAAGACAAGATGTTGGAATAAACTGGTTCTTATTATTTACTTTTACAACAGTATGTCACAATACTCACAGATCAGATTAGACAGGTTTCACTGTACCTAAGTCGGGAGAGCTGTAAACTGACCTGGCACTATGTGCCTGTGAGTTAAAATGTATCCAATAACACAGCATCTAGCATCAATTTATTTCTTGAAGGAAGTTCTAATGAAACATAAGGTCTATAGGGTTTGGATGTCCAGCATGTGGCTTACTTGGAAGGCAGGCTATCAAGCTTGTTCAAATAACTGCCGTTGACGACCCTCCTTAGAGATCACAGTACCAAATGTGTTGAAATCTTCAATTTATTCTAATAAACTATAATGCTTAGTATAATATATAGGCTGTAGCTTGCTTGAGGGAATGACCTTAGCCTACTTTCAAGGTCACAGGAATCCAATAATTTACAAACTTAATCTACAAGCTTGGCATTCCTTGAGTTAGGATATTTTGTCAATATGAATGTGGCTATCAAGCATATTCAAATAAAGGTTATTGAATCACATTCAAGGTCATATGAGTCAAATAAGATTAAACAGGCCTAGAATAATGATGTTTTTTGTCGATAGCTGACTTATGGAACGGCTACTAACATTATTCAAATAAACAACATTGACCCGCACTCAATCATGATAATCCTGGTAATGATATTTCGCATGTAGCTTGCTGAGGTAGAGGGTTATAAGTTTTTCATGACATTAAATTACCTTGACCCACATTTTAGGTGACAGGAACCATATATTAAAAACTAAAAATGACTTTCTCTTAAGCCTGGATTCATTAGCATGCTGAGGTTTAAAGGCTTATCGAGATTGTCGTAATAAATTATCTTAAAACATTTTCTTCTCAAGCATTTCAGCATTAAATACTTGGTCGCCAACAACTTTAAATCACAGGTGAGCAATACAGGCCCTTCAGTCCCTTACATGATTCTAATTTTTGTGAATTTTAACATCACCAAGCCACTTAATTAACTTAATTTGGTTAAAATATCCTGACAAACAGGATTTAGTTTTTTGTATACAGTACAATTCTTGTTATGCTGATGCCTGCTATCCACCATATGTTGGTACTATATATAAAGGGGTTAAGTGACATGAGACTTAAATTTTAACAGGAATGTAAAGTGGGACCTGGAATTCAATTGATGGTAAGGTTAGTAGTAAATGGAAAAACTAGGCCTAATATATTGAGGATTTATTGTACAATTATGAAAGCAATGTTCAACTAGCATTTCTTTGACATATAAATCATAGACTTATAAATCAAATACAAAAATGAAAAATATCCCAAAAAATGATATACCCGGTACTCTAATAAATTACAAATACAAAGCCATGTATCTGTTATATACATATACAAAACCATGTATCACAGCTAGTGTATCATATATCCACTGAAATCAAATTTCCCGTAAAATCAAATACATAACCATGTATATATACGTAGCTAATAGATTATGTTCATCCATAAATCATAGGCTCAAAAAGATATATAAAATCGAAAACCAAAAGGAATGATATTTTTGTAATAAAACCTATACCCTCATTAGTCATACACCCAAAATTATTAGGGATCCCTGTCCCAGCACTCTAGCTTTTTGTATACCATATACAGTAACCTCCCCTTAATTTCGCTTTCGATATAACTATAACACCGTTGGGTCTGGACACCTATTGAACGGAAAATTACGATATATCGTTGTGCAGTGGAGAGTTTGAATCCTGATCTGGCTCCACTGAATGTTTACAATCAGATCACTATTGTTGATTGTATTTCATTTATTTGGCCTGTATTTTTTATTTTCTATAAAATCCCACAAGATTTGGTTTTCTTTTTAGGAATAATTGAGTAAGCTATAGTCATGCAAGGAAAAAATGGTTTCCAATCGGTAGTTACAGTTTAAAGCAGTGGCACAGCGATCCTTAAATTATATACCCATACAAATCATGTATCTCAATTAATCATTTGAAATCTTATAAACACAGAGAAGGGACAAATCAGGTGAGCAGTTCTGCCCTCTTGTTTGTACCCTATGGTTGTAACTTAAATACATGTATACCTGAGCTGGTACACATGTGACTTCTGGTTATTGCTTTATCTAAACTGTCACCTGAAAAAATAAAATCAATGGTATTGAGGTAAAAAAAACAATTGAGTCCATAACCTAAGGATATAGAGTCACAGCTGGGCACGTTATGTAAATAAATATTTCAGTTTCGATCCATAGTTCTATATATGTTAATATGACGTAGTGTGTCGTGATTTAAGATAGTGTAGGCTTCATTGTTTGATCCTCATAACAATCCTGGGACAAACCAATTCACATGACAGATTTAGGCTACAACTGTTAACGTTGATGTCGTAGTTTAGGAGAGCATCTACTTCAGTTAATACATATGTCGTTCAGAGACATAAAACATACTGGTTTCAACAATTTCCCATAATTTAGTGTGACTGTTGGAGGTGTTTGTAAAAACACATGGACATATTCTGATATTAAATGTCATAATCTACATTGATTAAAGTTATGTAAAACATTTGTTCTCAAAGGAAATCTTGACAACATGATTCATAATGTCAGTGTTTATCATCTTTTCTTTATCGTACAAAATAATCTAGGTCTTCAACAGGAGACTACATGTACTTTAATTTTAAAGCTGATCAAACAATGTTCCTGCATCATCCAATGAAATCACATGGTTGAGGTCACATGATCAGTAGGCTAATATTTGTATGAGGTAGCTGGCTACGCCAAATTCGTAGAAATTGACATCAAACATGCAGCATTAAGAGAAGTTTTTAAATTTCCAATGGTACAACAGAATTAAGTGGCGATACATTCATGTATAAATATAAATGCTAATATGTACCAAAATGACTGTATGAAACAATTCAGATTAATTTCAAGGTATGATCTGTTGTTGGCCCGGAAAATCTAGTTTAATCAAAGATGTTAATTAGTACCATCACTTCCATTTTCATGTTTATTAACACTGTGGGCCTAAGTTGATGGATTCTGTCTGAAAGTTTCCAAATAGATTAACAGAAAGGATATATTTACGTTTTCATGGGTTAATGACACATATTATTAATCAGGAATCGGACTAAATGACTTGTATTTTATGGAAATTACAGACTAAATTTGCAAGAATTTCACATTTAAGACAATACAAATGAACAAACAGGGAAGTGATGGTTCTATTGTTATAGCCATGACTATGAAAACCACATTCAGCAAACTTTTTGTGTTGAACAATCTTTTCTGTCAAACCGCATCACAGGGACTGCAAAATAAAAGGTCACTTTGAGTTTGGGCATCTTAAAAAGGCCTGAAAAACACTACATCTTTTAATATCACGTTCCATTTAAAATCATGTTTCATTGAATAATATCATTTTTCTTTGACCTGTAATATAAAGAGGAGTGTACAGTAGTAATGTCCATCAGCCTCCATTGATGCTATGACCAGAATTGGATCGATTTTAACACTGTGTTTTTGACCTTTCACTGTTACAGGTCAAAGTGAGGACATCAGTTCTCATATACGGGTTGTAGAATTGCAGCATGACGCTGCCGGCTCCCTCGGTCTCAGCATCGCAGGGGGAATTGGTAGCTCCATCGGGGATGTGGCCGTCATGATTGCCAACATGACACCTGGAGGACCGGCAGAAAAGAGTCATAATCTAAAGGTAGATAACTGTAAATGTAATTGACGAAACTTTTCATATGGCTTACTAAAGCCTGATCATTCTCAAAGTACCTGTGCAGATCATGCATACTTTGTTTCATTTGCTTGAATTTCTATTTCGCTAGATATTGGCGTCATCAGTAAGAGATGAGTTTAACATTGATGTCCCGTCACAAGGTCTATGCTCATTTGTGCTGTGATACCTGTTGAAGATCAGATAAGATCTGTCTGTTATGTGTATGACTTAATTGTTGTAGTTAAGATATGATCTATATGAAGCTGTATGATCTGTTGTAGATTGGAGATAAGATTTTACAGATTAACACCCAGGTAATTGACGGCCTGAGCCATGATGAGGTTGTCCAGCTGCTTAAGACACCAGGTGTAGTCAAACTACAAGTCCAACATGGTACGCAGCATCCTCGGGAACGCAACGTTCACATTTAACCCAAGGCCATCAGTAGTCTCTTGTTGATAAAAACATAATGTTCACATTTAACCCAAGGCCATCAGTAGTCTCTTGTTAATAAAAACGTAATGTTCACATTTAACCCAAGGCCATCAGTAGTCTCTTGTTGATAAAAATGTAATGTTCACATTTAACCCAATGCCATCAGTAGTCTCTTGTTGATAAAAACGTTATGTTCACATTTAACCCAAGGCCATCAGTAGTCTCTTGTTGATAAAAATGGGAGTATTATACGATTGTACCATAATCTTCATAAGTGAACAGTCAAATATTTGTATATTCACCATGATGTGTAGGAATGAACAGATTCCAGAATTTGTTTACAGGAAATGAAAGTATGAAGTAAGTTGTAAATCACAGTTACATAGGATCCTGGGAAAAGCCCGAAACAACAGGGGATCCCAGAGCATACCCCTTTAGGGATTTATTTGTGGTGGTTTCCTTTGTTTTACATGATCCATTTTAAACCAACTGTTTTAATCAATGGTGGGATGGACATTTGTTACACAATTTTATATCTACAATGGTTACAACTTCCAGCTAATGTCTTGAAGAAAGACAAGGGAGATAAGTTATCCTTTGTCAAGAATATGTAAGGGAGATAAATCATACTTGGTCAATTCTGTTACGGAGATAAATTATATATGGTCAATATGATAAGTAAGGGAGATATCTATCGATAATAAGTAAGGGAGATAAGCAATACACTACCTCTGTTCACAGGTGAGGAGAAGCGAGTAAGTGTGAGTGGCCACCCCTCTCGCCAGGTTAGCATGGATATGTCACAGGAAATAGCTAACGCCCCGCTGGTACCCGCTGCCACAGACAACGTGTTTGATGGAGAAGAAGACGGGTCAGTACTCCAGAAAATCTGGTCTTAACTTAGTCATTTATACCTTATTGAGTTAATACCACGTAAATACCATATGATTTAAACCAATTAAAAGTTATAATTCATAACAAAGTCACTGATTAACTGAGTTTGTAGTGTGGTTTATTTTATAGTAATAAGATACTTTGATCACATATCTTGTGCCAGATTCAACACAGATGTATGGTGCCTAAACTTTCAAGGCATATATCACAAGGTCTAAATCACAAATGTCTGGTACCCAATTTTCTGGATAGTCTTTGTAAGAAATGTCTGGTGCCCAACTTTCAAGATATTTATCTAAGGTTTAAGACCATATCTTGTTCTTGAAATCATATCATTTTTGCAGAACTAATTAAGTTTTTCTTTGTTTTCTTCATTATCACAGTGCCCCTCCACAGCAGAAAGTCATCACTTTAGTGCGAGGAGGAGATGGATTGGGCTTCTCCATTGTGGGTGGTCATGGAAGCCCCCACGGGGACCTTCCTATCTATGTCAAAAACGTTTTCGCCAAAGGTGCAGCAGCAGAAGACGGAAATCTCAAAAGAGGGGATCAAATCCTCATAGTGAATGGAGACAGCCTGGAGGGCTGCACTCATGAACAGGCTGTGGTTATACTAAAAAAAGCCAAGGGAAATGTTGTCATGACGATCCTTACATCATAGCAACATTGAGGATTGTTAACATATCCTTGTTCGCAAAGATTTGTTTTACCAAAAACATTATATGCCCCATTCCTAATTGTACAGTGTGATCTGTTTAGATTTTTTTCTTTTTTTTTCAAATCAAGCCCAGTATCATCAGTGAATGTCGGAGATAACGAGAGCGAAAGGACACCGTTTTTCAGTATTCATTATGATGATGCATACATTTTTTGTCTTGGAATGTGGTATTTTCTATTGGTTGAAAACCTTACCTATGTTACCTTGAGACAAAATTGAGAATTTGATGTTTTAAATTATGATTTTGTACAGCATTTTCACTTGTCAAAAAATGTTTTTGTTGTTGCACAAAGTTCTATATTTACCAAATGATGATGTTCAGAAACGTTGACAATATGGCACATTGTAGATACAATTAATGGTCAGATGAATTGCTTGAAGTTGGTTCAAAATACAAACAACATTATAATGTGAAGAGAAGTGACAGTCCTGCCTGTATAAATAAAAACATTGTTGTCAGTTATGTCTTCAGATAGGCGTGTATGCCCCGGCGCCCACCAACGTGTTTGTCAGTCACATGCATTCACGATAATATCTCTTACACTTACAGATTGAATACAACTAGACTTGATCACTTTTGTTAAGACTGCAAACACGGGGTCAAAGTTCATCAGTTCTTGTGTAATATGCGATCCTTGCTATTGTATAATATTGTACTATTTTTTACAACTTTTGGTAAGGGATTTGTTGCACATTGTCAATGTATGTTTTGGTTGTGGTGATAGTAGGCTCTGCTAATTACTTCTCACAAATCAATTATGCAATTTATATTTGAAAATATTGACATTTGTTTTCACCCAGTATATGTAAATATGTTTATAATGTGTATGCCTTAAGTTATAAGTTGATCTACCAGGCATTCCCGTAGAGTTATGTATAAATTTTATTTGTGTTACACATCTATAATTCAGTTTGTTAGTTTTAATATAGTGTATGTATCTACTTATCTATAAAGGGTCTTTTTATACAGTACAAATACCCTAGAGTTATATAGCCCAGAGATTTATGTAGATTGGTATCAAAGGAGATAGAAAATATGTATATAAATCGCCAAGGACAACAAATTCACATAAATTAGTAGCAAGCAGAACACTGGAGAGTTCCATTGGGGTTTGCAGTACAGTATATACAGTAACCTCCCCTTAATTTTATTTTAGCTATAACTTGAGCATGATGGCTAAGGAACCACATGTTGGTAGCTCAAGTTGTAAAGACAAAGGTAATGATCATCAGTCCAGGTTTCGAGTCCTGAATGTTAAGAATGATGTACCCTCATCAGAAAAAATGTCAATATTGTTAATAAACAAGAACTTTGTCAAAATAAAAATCATATATAAATCGGGTTGGTGATATGCAAGTTTTTGATGTGTTAAAGGGACAATTTTCTCTGGTAAGTTCATATTTGAAAAGATTGAGTAGTGGGATATAGAAGTGTTTAGCCTGCATACAACTCTTTAAAAACTCCCCTAAGAATGGTTTAACTGAATTTATTTAACTTTGTAGACTTACAACTATTTCACTCATATTGGGCATATACACTACCAAAAACTTTTACTAAAATACTATTTAATGAACAATCCCTGTTTTAAGGGTATGGCTACTGACGAAGTTATTAACAATATGCTTGTGGTTGTGTGATAATTGTATACAGAAAAACCTACTTACATTGAACCTGTCTAATATGACCCTTGGGTATTCTGACATCATGTTTCATCTGATATAATGCTGTTTTCCCACTGAAAAAACTACCAAATTAATGATTTTGTATTCTGAATGCTTGTCTAATCTGACCATTTTGTTTTCCACATGGTGTCAGATAAGACAGGTTCCACTGAAGAAGTACATACAAAAATATGTATCATTTTTGTTACTAACAAAATAATTGTACATTCTACTTGTATGATCTTGTACAAACACTTATTATGTGATCTTGTACGATATCACAAATTACTTGCCTGATCTTGTATTTTCAAATCAAATTCACATTTCTTTTTGTTGGTTTGCTTGTTTAAATATTTGAATGTTTTTCTTTCTTATCAAGATTGTTGTTTAATATACGCTGAAGTATGGCTGTGCATTTTATGTGTTACATTTTTATTGCAAAAAGTCTGTATGAAGCCACTAATGTAAGTCAAGGAGTGTATTGGATTGACAGATCTGCATGCATTAGTCAGTGCTGACCGGGTGACTGATCACAAGGCACTGGTCAGTGCTGAACGGGTGACCAACTACAAGGCACTGGTCAGTGCTGAACGGGTGACCAACTACAAGGCACTGGTCAGTGCTGAACGGGTGACCGACTACAAGGCACTGGTCAGTGCTGAACGGGTGACCAACTACAAGGCACTGGTCAGTGCTGAACGGGTGACCAACTACAAGGCACTGGTCAGTGCTGAACGGGTGACCGACTACAAGGCACTGGTCAGTGCTGAACGGGTGACCAACTACAAGGCACTGGTCAGTGCTGAACGGGTGACCGACTACAAGGCACTGGTCAGTGCTGAACGGGTGACCAACTACAAGGCACTGGTCAGTGCTGAACGGGTGACCGACTACAAGGCACTGGTCAGTGCTGAACGGGTGACCAACTACAAGGCACTGGTCAGTGCTGAACGGGTGACCAACTACAAGGCACTGGTCAGTGCTGAACGGGTGACCGACTACAAGGCACTGGTCAGTGCTGAATGGGTGACCAACTACAAGGCACTGGTCAGTGCTGAACGGGTGACCGACTACAAGGCACTGGTCAGTGCTGAACGGGTGACCAACTACAAGGCACTGGTCAGTGCTGAACGGGTGACCGATCAAAAGGCACTGGTCAGTGCTGAACGGGTGACCAACTACTAGGCACTGGTCAGTGCTGAACGGGTGACCGACTACAAGGCACTGGTCAGTGCTGATCGGGTGACCAACTACTAGGCACTGGTCAGTGCTTAATGGGTGACCAACTACAAGGCACTGGTCAGTGCTGAACGGGTGACCGATTACAAGGCATTGGTCAGTGCTGAACAGGTGACTGACTACAAGGCACTGGTCAGTAGGATTAAGTAGACCAGTATCATTGCTGATATACCTTTCACAGGTGTGTTTGATACTTTGAGATGTGCATAATTTTACAGATTGACATACCTAGGTAGCTGTCCTTTAAACACCCCTTCTGATACACTGTTTAGCTGTGTAAGCCTGTTGATTTTGTCTTATACAGTAGGTTAATTATTTTGACTGATTTTTCTGAATGACCGGAGCTTGTTCCCATGTTGTCTTCTTTATTACAATCAAAATTTGTCATTGTGCTTGCAAGTGTGAACATATCTGAAGTTTTATCATATCAAATAGTAATTAAAAGCTTATACAAATATCATTGTTTACCGAAAATTCTTATTTTATTAGTCTACATGAAATTTTACACTCACAATAACTCAAATAAACTTATTTAATCTATCTGCTGTTTAGTTTGGTTTCTAGATCACTTGACCATTGGTCATTAGTGACCTTATACCATGGCACATTGTCAGATCATCTATCAACTGTCTTTATATGACATAGATCTTAAAAGTTCTTTATCTAGATTGACATTTTATATTTCAACACACATATGAGAAAGAATCCTGTTAAGCCTCTCCAATTTTACCAACTCCTTCATTTATCTATGTTTATATGTACATTATTTTAGAAGATTTGCATGTGTTGGTTTCGATGGTACAAAGTACTTAAAAAAAGCTAGTCTAGACTGCAAGCTGCAGAAAGACTTTTGGGAATCTGATATAAAGTTCATAAGTTCAAGAGTTCCACAAAGTCATAATGCTGGGAGCCGCTCATATGCACCTTACCATCAATATGGTCAAACAAGCTTGTGAATCTATAGTCTTTATTAGTAACTAACAGTAACTGGAGTCATCATAAATATTACATGGTAAGGAGACTAGCTTCAAACATCATAAACAGAAAAAAACTATACACATGGGAAAAATCCTGCCACACCAACAACCAAATAATATAGATTTCTGAAATACAACAATGTGTTGATGGAACCACGGAATTAGCCTAGTCCCTGATGGGACCACATGTCTGTGACTAAACCTATCTATATAGCAACAGTATTTTTAGCTCACCTGGTCCGTCGTCAACATTTCCTTTAAAAAGCTACTTGTCCAGAACAGCTGAATGAATTTTGACCAAATCTTAAGTTCTTGAGTATTGTTGGGCAACGGGGACGTAATATTTCACTTGCGTTTAGTAAATATCTGCAGAGCGTTATTTCCGCGTGGAGCCAGTTAAGTCAGTGAAACAATATCAAAAAGATCAGTAAAACAACAAACAGTGTAACGAAAGCTGATGTGGAAGCTGACACCAATAAAAGTCATACCATTACTAAAAACAATGTAAAGGATAAACTAATAAACGAGTCGGAAGTATCGAATTAAGCGCCCTGAAGAAGGGAAGAACAGGTGGACAGAACGATGTTACCGCGGAACGCTTGCACGTATATAGCGCGTACACGTTCTTACAAAAATGTTGATAAAAAAAGACACAAAATATATACACCAATACTGGCTAGGCTTAGTTTAGCTGCGGGAACCGTAGCTTCTATGTCCGATTTTTAAAAAAAAAATATTATTGTTATCGGATGGTCCGATAACCAAAAAAAAACCGGATGGTCAGATAACAATAAAAAAAAAAAATCGGACATAGAAGCTACGGTTCCCGCAGCTAGGCTAAGTTAGGGCACGGAATTAGAATAGATATGTTATCCAAGTCCGTGGTTAGGGAGATGAAATCAAAGGGAAAGTTTACTTGAAAAAACGCGGCAAACCGTAGTGATAAACTAACAAAGAAAGAAGGAATAAATAAAAGACGGTGTTGAAGGAAAATTAAAGAACTTGACCCAACGGATATTGATCAAACCATCGTTGACCATAACGTCCTGACAGATAATTCAAGTACATCAGTCGATGATCAATCACCGTAGATTACAACTCAGTCTCCGATATAAGTTCAGGTAGAAGGCTAACCGCCTTGAAAAGATACCTCTCTTACCAAGAGTCGGTGATGGCAAGAATGAAACTGTCGTAAATGGTGATCTACCTCCATCTTACGCTTGACAAGTTTTGACTTTCGTCATGAAGAATATCTTTTGGGACCGAGAATGATCAACCTCTGGAACCAATTGCCTGAAATACCACGCCAACTTTAAAGTGATCCAGCTCTATGACGTTTATAAAGTTTTAACAAGAATGGTCTAAATGTGATTCATGCTAGCGTAGGCACTTCGGCGGTTACAGTGATGGCAGAATCACAATTTATCATTGAATAAATAAAACCAAAACATAATATTTAAAACAAAAATGTTTTGTGTTTCCGATAGCGCTACCTACCCTCATCTTTTGCGCCGACTGAAACCTTTTAAAATCAAAACGCCTTTCGTACGGGGTTCGTCGTCCGTCTGTCGTTCCGCCCGACCTTCTTGCTGATACTGTCTCTCAGAAAATACTGGAGGGATCTTGCTCACGTGAAGGTTCCCCATGGTCTCTTTTTATACATATCGAATTTTGGGGCTGATCAACATTCAAAATGGCTGAGAGGCGGCCTCCTTGAATTTTAAAAGTTACACGTTGTTAGCGCTATTTCTCAGAAAGTACTTGAGGCATCTTGCTCACTTTTACCCATTGTACCTACATGAAGTATATTTTGAAAAAGACGAGAAAAATATGCAACTAGTTAAAGACATTGGAGAAAACTGTAAATGACATGGAAAAAGTCGAAAGGTTACAACTCATTACTTTCGAATGGAGGATAAATAATTTTGCTGTCGTTAAGAGACAACGCACCAAATATCACATTAAGGGCAGTCAACATCACAGAAGATAAATTAAATAAAGCAGCTGTTCAAAATCATCCTATATTATCCTTTAAAAATAAAACAAACTATGGAACCATAAAACAAATCGTCTCAAAATCGATAGCAGAAAACATAGGGTCGCTTTTGCCTTTTTCGCCTTTTCGCTATGTAGCGGCGATGAAGTGGAAAAGCGCCTTTAATCAGTTTTAGTGTAAACATAGTCATTGCTAAAAGTCGGCAAATGAATAAAGCACAACTTATTACAACTTATCAACACCTTCTTCCAATATACATTTTCAATTACATTACGATAGTGACAACAGGTACATGTATTATACATTTGAACTCAAAATCTCTTGCTGGATTTAATAAAGTTTTGCACATACATGTATCTTAAAGTTTTTATGTTATGGTCCACGGAAAATTGTGAATTGCCAAACAGAATTATTTTTTAATTTAACGGATCGTTCAAATTATTTTTAAATTTTGAACTAGGATACGTCTTTCGTTTGTAAGAAGATGACATTCCAAAAAGTAGTGAAAGACATGCTCACAAGGATGACATCAAATACAGGCTGTACTTTCAACAACGCTCACTCTAAAATGGATTTCATATATCAAGAATCTATTCAATTGCACGGGACTAAGTTACGTATGGTTACAACAAAAAACTTGCACTATGAATAAAAATTACCTTAGGGTTAGTTTTAAAACTGTTCTGTATGACCAATTTATACAACAATGGTATACTGATATTGAAAATTCTTCCCGGGGTCAAACATATGCAATATTTAAACATCAATTTCAGTTTGAAAAATACTTAACTATGCTCAAACAAAGAGATAGAATAACTATCTGTAAGTTCAGAACCAGTAATATATCTCTGCCTATAGAGACTGGGCGATGGACTAGAACACCACGTGAAGGCAGAATCTGTCCGCTTTGTTTTACTGGAGTTGGAAGCGAGTATCATTATTTGTTTATATGTTCAAATGCTTATGTAAGTCAAATCCGCAGAAAATATATACCTATTTATTACACCTCTAATCCATCTGTTCATAAAATGAAAGGATTAATATCAATATGTAATGTTAGAATATTATCAAATCTATCGCTGTTCATACAATTACTAGAAAGACAATTAAAAAATAATATGTGAATTTCACACATCAAACTGTAAACTTTTGTATACATATAGATATTACTGATCATTTGCTAAACCTAACATAATTGTATTGCATAATGAGTGTGGTTACAGCTTGCTTATCATGGTTTGTTTGTTATCTGTCTATTACAGTATTGTATGATGGGATTGTAACACTGTCTATTATACCTTTGTAATATTATATGGTATGATGAGTAGTATAGTCACTATTATGCCATGGTATGATTGCACTGTATGGTGTGGTATACTATCTATAATATATGTATCATGGAGTGCGAGTAATATATGTGTAATACTGTAATAATATTATTGTAGGATTGTACTGTAAGATGGATGCAACAGTGCCTGCTATACCATAGTGTGAACGCACGGTATGTGTGAATGTAATGCTATGTATTATACCATCGTAATAGTATTGTAAAATGAGTGTAATAATGTATATCACAGTGTATGATGAGTGTCATTGTATGATCAGTGCGTTATACTGTCTATTATAATAAGGTATGCTAGTACAGTGTAATATTGTGTTTATCATTGTATGAGGAGTGTAATAGTTTCCACTATATTATTGTACGCTAGCATAGTAAGATGAGTGCTTTACGGTCAACCATATCATTGTTATATTGTACTTTATGATGACCTCTTGTTGCGCACAATAGTGTGCCTGAGTGATAATAAAAATCTCTGAGTCTAAAGAGGTCGTAATTAAGGGAACTGCACTGGTGCCTGCGCTTAGTATGCAAAATATTAGGTTTACGTTTTCCGAATTTAAAGTAGATAAGTTATTCCAACGATGAAGGATAGAAGTTATAAAAGAATAGTTAGTAAGAGACAGTCTGAAAAGAGGAATCCTATATAGTTATTATTGTTACGTAAAGCGTAACGATTATTTTCTCCAGTTAAAGGCGGCAAAAGATTATTGAAGTAATCGGGAGTTACTTTATTATGCTTCCTATACAACAGTTGCAGTTTCATCCTTTTTCTTCGATTAGATAAAGTTTCAAGACCAGTTTCGCACAATGAAGTATTGATAGGGGTATAAGAAGGGAGTCCTGATATAATGCGAGCAGCTTCACGTTGGGCTTTTTCTAACTTTTCATATTCAAATGTAGTGCAACCGTCCCACAACTCACAAGCACATTCTAAAACAGGTAAAATAGAAGTCTTATAAATTATCAAAGAGCATTCCTACTTAATTAGTGTTTCAGTTTCCGTAAGACTTTTTTTTTCATAACAGAAGTATAAATCCCATTGACATGATACCCTACTTTGCATTTGAATTAAAAGTAACCATTAAACGTTTATGATAATCCGTAACGTTTAAGACTTTCCCATCAAATTCTAAGTCTAAATCTTCGCCTATATCAGTGGATTAGAAATAAATATAAGAAATAAAAGTGGTCCAAGAATAGAGCCTTGTGGAACTCCTGCCTCAATAAGACATACGGAAGAATATGACCTATTTAAAAAGACCTTTCGATGTCTCTGAGACAAATAATTTTCTAACCATACTGACATTCCATACGATTTTAACTTCACCATAAGACCTCTGCCAAACTCTACCAAAAACTTTGAATATGTCACAAATTACAACAACAGTATGTTTTTCCCCAAATGCAATACATATTTCGTGATAACTATCAATGAGTTGGTACGCTGTAGAATGACCATGCATAAAACCCGACTGGTATTTGTAAAACAAAGAATTTTCTATAGAGTAGACTAGTTGTACAAATGTTTAAAAATCACTCTTTCAAACACTTTACCAACAGTGGACAGCAAAGAAATAGGTCTATAGTTCGAAGGAGAATATCTGTCACCCTTTTCAAACAACGGCATGATATTAGCAAATTTCCATTTATTTGGATAAATCCCTGTTAAAAAGGACAGTGTGACCAGTATTTTGAATGTTGCGTTAAATTTAGAAATAATTTTGTTTGGCAATTCACAGCTTTCCAGTGTTAATTATGGTAATATTTATATTAATATCTGTGTTTCGGTTGTTGAGATATTACTTTTCACCCCAGCATAAACAATGCTTATATGAAATTTTGCAGTAAAAAATGTTGTGGCCATTTAAATCATCATGGTTAGAAATCTATGGAACGGATAGTGTTATATAAATACTACCAATAAAGTCTCATCATTTTTTGACTGAAAACGAAGTCAGATACGATTAATTTTCCACGGACCTTTTGATGTGCATGTTTTTACAAAGGTAACTGTTAATGAATCGTTTGTTACTTCAATTGATAATGAGCGTGAAATTCGTAAAATATCGGCTGTTATTGTCATTTAACTGTTGGGGTTTCTATCGGGAAGTCAAGATGTGGCGTTGGGAGAGAATGGCAATAAATGTGTATTATGTCAGAATACTGTGCCATCTGACGTTGCCAGATTATTATCAAAATCCTTCCCCGCTTTTAGTGTAGCCATTGAAACGTTTAGATCACCAAGATTATACGAAATTAATTCACTTCCGGATCAACAGACGATAACATTTCTTCTGGCAAACACAAGGTAAGACCGTTATTTTCTACACCGCTTACGTTATTGATATTTGTCTGTAAACAAAAGCTCCCATATGTGTTTACCAAAGATACATTAAAAGATGTCAGTCACAGATAATCGTAATAAATCATGTTCTACACAGTCACAGTGGGCCTAGCTCAGCTAGTGAACTTTCATCTTAGAGCGCGACCAAGTTCGAAAACAAACAAAACAGGAAACTCCATAAAAAAACGCGTTTATTCACACTTAAACTATTTTGTTTAACAATTACCTTTTAGTGGAGCTTGTTTAGATATTAGATTACCCCTAACGGTCACAATAAATTCGGTCGGAGTAAGAGATATTTCTAACGCCATTGAGTGCCCACTTCCCATAGAGAAACCTATATAAGCTTCATAATGTTATAACCGTTTTAATGCCTTCATCATATACTAGTTGCATTTATATAAATAAATGTTGATTTTTGTGTCGATAGTAAGACTACTTGTGTAACATGGAGTAGTGACTCGAATAATGTTTTTTGTAGATATTGTGTAAGGGAAGTAACTCCTAATCTCGATACATGCAGACTCACTGTTACCAGATTTTTTTATGAAACAATTTATATAATCACGGACTTACCGGTAGAAAGCTAATTCGTTGATGTAATGATATTGTTTATGTTTGTTATTATTTCCTACAAGCTACATGTTATTAAAATTTAAGCAGTTATTATATTTAAAATAAAAGGAAGCACACTTGAGAAGCCATTCAGGGGCTGCTAGATTTTATATTAGGACTAGAGACATTTTCAAGATTATATGAAAATATAAGTCAAAATCTGCCTGTGGCTTGTTATCTAAGTTGGAAATTGCGAATCCTTGCTTTGTTAAGATAATTTAAACATGTAACATTTCCTTTCTGTTTTATTTTTTATTTATTGAAAGTATCAATGTAGAAAATTATATATATATTTTTTTTATATTCTAACGAATAAATGCTCACTTTTAAATTTTACAGTTTTTAACTTTAAATGAATGTCAAGAATTGCTGAGTACCCATTGTAGTAAAGTATGGAGTTGTATATACGATTATTCAGAACATAAAGGTCAGTTAATTAAGGGAAGGGTTTAAATGAAACGTGTGTCATAGCTGAGGACATGTTCATATTGCTTTACTTCATTATGCTTGTTTAGTGCTGTGAAAACTTTAATAAAAATGTATTTATCCTGTTTTCACTATTGAAAAATGAAATTGTTCAAAACATTGTTTGAAATATAACACTTTATTTGTAGCATCTGAAAACGATGGTGAACACATCTGCTCTTTGGTTTATGGTGGTGGCGGCGATGTGGGGAGGCACAAACCCTCTCATCAAAAGGGGCAGTAAAGGTGTGGAAAACATCAAGGAAAACAATAGGATAAAACAATTTGTATCCGAACTTAAATTCCTTTTTTTTAACTGGAAGGTATGTATTGTCATAAAGAGTGTACCAAGTTTATGCTTTTAAAACTTTAAAAATATATGTTTTTTTTATGTCCTTGCGTTTCGTTCCTTTTGTATTTTACCTTTGTTTTGTTAATTGTCACTTTGATTTTTGTTGTTGTCCAAATCTTTGGCATTTTTGTTTCTGAAAAAATATGCTGACTTTAAATTTTCTGCAACATCATTATCTAAAGCCCAAACTTATTCTCTATCACTATCAGAATGGCAGTGATTCATTGAGGTATATATGTTGTGAATCCACAGCTCATCAGAAAAGTTGTAGTTTGTATCACTATTAATTGGCAATTAGTCAATTGGATGTAGACAGATTTACTCCCTATACTTTAATCATAGCATTTCCTGTTATGTGCCAGTGTTTTAAATGAAATATATATATTTATTTATTTTTTACTGCAGATGTTGGGAGAAATCCCTTTTGGTTGCTTTGAATGACTGATTAATGTTCAAATCTTGAAATTCAATATCACAAATACATTATAATAGCAGCAATTATCATGGTTGTAATAAAACAAAGTAGATGTGGTGTGGTAAGCTAAGCAATACAACCAAACTAAAAAGTTTACAGGTGCTGCATGTTAATTTCTGTTATATTCAATGTTGCAGTATTTGATTCCATTCGGCATCAACCAAGGAGGATCTGTTGTATACTACCTAACACTGGCCACAGCAGGTACAGTAAACCTAGGGTTCCCAAAAGTATATCTTGTAACTTTTTTACCTGTTGATTACAGGTATAAGTTTGCCTATTTTCTATCATGTAATCGCTCACATGTAAAGGAATTTTGACTAAGTTTGATATTTAAGTTTCCCATTGGCAAAGGTATTAGATTTGTATAAATGACAACATCTGCAGTTATGTTTTTTAATTTTCGTATTTCATTTCAAACACTGGTACATAATCCGATATGTTAACTTATGATAATATTTTGGGGATAGATGCATGCATGGGACCAGAAAGAGGAAATGGATGGGGAAGGGGGGACAGGTTGATCTGAAGAGAATTAAATGTTATGATATTTGGCTTGCAAAGATCATCCCTTAGCCATGGAATTCAATATTGTATTACCTAATGCTATTATTGTATAGCAGTAGTGATATAACTATAAGACTACAATATTTCATTGATTCTAATTTTGATTCGTTTCTTTTTTCAGATTTATCTTTGGCAGTCCCCATCACAAATTCCTTGACTTTTATATTTACATCTATATCGGGAACTCTATTGGGTGAGAAACCTCCATCTTTAGGTAAGTTTCATTATGTTGCTACTGGGATTAAAGCAGACACAATGTTTGGGCGAAAAACCTCCTTCATAGAGTATAATGACTTGACAGAGTTTCTAGGCAATTGTTTTAATTATTTTTCATAGTTGTTTTACCAGAAAACTCCAACCAATGAAAATTGAGGATTTGGTGTAAAAGCAAAGATTTTTTTTTATATGTACTATATCCATGAATTTAATTCAAAACAAAACTTAAGTAGTGTGCATTCATCATCGTATAAAGAAAGTAAAAAAAAGTGTTTTTTTCTGCATTCTTATAAAAAGTTCTGAAAATGAAAATACTGAAGAAAAACATCACAATAGACTTTTCATATATTAACCAGTATAAGAACAATCAGCTACTTTATGTGTAATTTGACATTGGCCTATCATAAAGAAACACATTATTGGTAACTCAAACAAGTTTTGTCTTCTGTTGGATCCCTATAGAAACCTGTTTAGGTATGGTACTAGTGGTGTGTGGGGTGTCACTCTGTGTGTTTGACAAAGTATGAATGGATGTGAATCAGATCACCTCTTCCAGCACTACATTAGGTAAGTTATCAAAAACATGCATTGTAGATAACCAGCTGATTTCCAAAACGAATGCAAAATATTTATGTTGTTATTCTAATTGAAGGATTTCAATACTGAATTTCAATAATAAGATTCTTCCTGAAGACTATAAATTCTATAAAGTTATATTTCATATCTCACTTGTCACGTGTACAGGGTAATCAGTGCTGAAAGTTAAAAAATTCAAATGACTTTATCTTCAAAACTATGAGGTCATTGTCATGATGCTTTACATGTACATATAGCTTGCTAGTGAAGAGGGATTTCACTGCTAAAAGATATGTCTAAACCTCTTCAAAAGTTATTGAGTAAGGTTCAGTTACCTGTGGGAAAGGTTAATGAGTAAGGTTCAGTTACCTGTGGGAAAGGTTATTGAGTAAGGTTCAGTTACCTGTGGGAAAAGTTATTGAGTAAGGTTCAGTTACTTGTGGGAAAAGTTATTGAGTAAGGTTCAGTTGCCTGTGGGAAAGGTTATTGAGTAAGGTTCAGTTACCTGTGGGAAAAGTTATTGAGTAAGGTTCAGTTACTTGTGGGAAAAGTTATTGAGTAAAGTTTAGTTACCTGTGGGAAACGTTCTGATGACTTCTGTGGAACCATTAATGACTGGAGCGTTGACTTTTAGTCAGTAATTGCCTGGGATGAAGGGTAATTAGGTTTGTTCAAGTCAGTTATCTTAATATACTTTTAATATCACAAGAGTCATAACATTAATCGTAAATTCTGAAACATTACTACTTCAAATCTTTGTGCAGAGATTGGAAGAGTTGTCTCCCTTCTTACACATGTCTTCTGTTCTACTTCCAGATAGTGGAACCCTACCTGTTCACACACAGTGAAACAGTTAATGGATCACGATCTTAGATCTTAACGATCACAGTCATGTGTACATGGAAGCATGCATTGTTTTAACATATGGAGGAATACATTTGGAATATAATGTATGTTGGAGGAAAGGTGTCCGTGTTGAAATAGCTATGTAATACAGGCTTGTATTGGTTCAATTGCAACACTATAGTACTTACTGATGTTGAGGAATAAGTAATACCGGTGGTATAGTAACATGCTGTCCAGTATACTAACTGGATTCAGGCAGACCAGCTGGTTTGCATAACATGGTATAAGATTCATACTAAGTGTAGTATGACTAAAGATCAAGACATATACAAGGCAGAGTCCCAGTCTCCAAAAAGATCAACCTTATCAGCTAATTCACGTGTAATGCACGGAATAGGAGTTTCTTACGTTGCTAGACCACAAAAATACAACTCAAGGATAAGGAAATCTTAAATGTATGTGAAGCACAATATTAAAGATTATGTTCTGATTCTCAAAAACTTTGTCTCATTGGATGACCAGCCAGTTTCAAATTGATCAGGACAACCTACAAATCATTAGATTTGCCTAGGGGTAGATGCTAACGATTGTTGATTATGCTCTTGTGATGGGGTTTCCTTGACAGGTGAGGCCAGTCGTCCATGATGTCACGTTTGCCCAGAACTTGCAGTGTCAACCATGCTAGTTCATACACCTTTGCTGGGTCAGCATTCCCTGGAAGTCACTTATCTGGTGTCAGTTCTTTTGGGTACTGCATGGTTGTGCAATGACTGGGAGTCTGGAAATTTATCCTCTATGATTTAGGTTTACCAATCGGGTAACCAGTTGCTGATTGACATTTTCACTATGCTTTGGATTTATTGGTACCTCCGAGCAGCAGTGTTTAAGCCATCTGAAACACCATGCATATGATTTAGGAGGGCAACCTGGCAGTTACAACCATATCCCGTATACTTCCTTAAGGTTTTTGGTTCAACCCTATGTAGTTTTAATTTTTGAACTCATGGCCTCTCTCGCACAAAAGTGATAGGGTGGTAATATGTTCGTCAACGATTAACTTCTTTTAGGCGTTTCAAGCAAATTCTGGTAGTTTTACATGACCTTCAGGATTCCCAAGCAGAATCTTCTGTTTCCATGTACATAGAGACAGGGATCGGGAACAGGCAATGTTGTTAGACACCTTACATAACCACTACAGTGCAGATAAATGAGAGGTTAACATTTTTGTTTAGGCCCTTTTGGTCAATTCTCAGTCTTTGCTGGTGGCTGTGACGCTGTTAATCTTTGCCAGGTGCTCTGACTTCGACGACCGTTGTCAGGTGCTCCATTTAAGGACCATATTCATGAGGGGAACCATGATGGTGTTAACTATAAGGTTGTTGAGGATGAGGTGCATTAACTTCCATCCTGAAGGTGTGTGCTTCGGGCGTACGTGGCTTGACTTTCTGGACAAGAATATACCCATCTCTTAATTGTTACATGAGCCCTGGGTTCACGTGTTACTCAGTAACACTCTTCAGTCGGTTTCGAATTTAGACTAGACTTTTGTGTCTTAAGCCTTGACACGGCCAGGTCCTATGCGTTGGGGGAATTTTGTGTCTTTATCCTGGGCGGCTAGATTATCAAGTGTGTAACTTGGAGTGGCAGGCTTGTGGAAGATTCGTTCAGCCGAGTATACCAATCAGGATAGGTAGCTTGCTCTTTGCCCAGTTATGGTGGAATCGAAAGAGTATGCTTCATAATAATAATAATAATATACAACATTTATAAAGCGCCCTATATAATTTGTAAAATTACTCTAAAACGCTTTAATTTACAACATATGGATAATAATATTAGTTATAATTGTGAAACAAAAACAAAGGCTTACCATCCCTTTTATACATTTAAGCAATCAGATGAACAATTAAAGGGTGGTATTTACATGACGTCTTTGCAAAGAGACAAAAATGCAACCGTGAAGTGGTGAGTTTTGATGTCCCTCTTGAATCTGGCCTGAGTATTTGACTTCCTGGACTGGAAAATGGGTAAACCAGGTGGAGTTTTATATTTCAACCTATATTTACAGACACCCTGAAAATGTAATGATAGGGTTCTGATGTCTGATAACAACATATCCGAGATGGAAGGTCGGACAGCATCGTCTTAACACTCATTAAGTAGCTTCTGGTTTTTGACAGCCCTTTTCAAGGGACCCCATCGTTTTACTGGTGTCCTGTATAGAAGGATCCCGTTGCTTCAGGTCTTTTTGTGAAGAAGCTTATGTCGGAGAAGACTGGCTGCGATAACGTAGCTTCTGACGACGAGAGGTTTGTTTGGGCCAGAGGAGGCCGGGTATTTATATTAGTTCTAAGAGAAGACCATTTTTTTTACGAGGTTCATTGCCTGCCAGAAGAAGGCTGTGTAATGAAATTAGTCCTTTGTATTACAGACATCGCCTGCGAGTAAAGGCAGTTTTTACTTTAAGGCCAAATGGAAAGGTAAAAAGAGAACAAATAACCTTCGTGGTAGCACGCAGAAGGTGTCATATTTCAAAGACATTTACTACTTGTGAACAAACTCTCCAGATATTACTTAATTCACACAGAAATTTGTAGAACGAGTTTACATGTAATTGAAATCAATTATCCAAAATAATAAACGATCTCTTTACACTCAAAACAGTGTGATTACTTTATTATGTTGTAAATAAATATTTTCACTCAAACGACTATTGAACAATGTATGTTAAGGTTTAATAATCAATAGAACGACAACGATCCATGGTAAAATTTCTAAAAATAGCCTCACCAGTTCGGACAAAATGAGACCGCCTCCCAGAGACATTTCCATGTCATACGCCCGCATTGTCATTGACGTAGTTGTTAGGCGATTAATGCATACAACTATCGTTGATGTGTGACAACCTGAGACTTTAAGGACATAGAATCCTTATTACTGCAGGTAGTTGTAGGATTAGGACATAGAATCCTCATTACTACAGGTAGATGTAGGATTAGGACAGAATCCTTATTACTGCATGTAGTTGTAGGACTAGGACATAGAATCCTCATTACTACAGGTAGATGAAGGATTAGGACACAGAATCCTCATTACTACAGGTAGTTGTAGGATTAGGACATATAATCCTCATTACTGCAGGTAGTTGTAGGATTAGGACATATAAGCCTCATTACTACAGGTAGTTGTAGGATTAGGACATAGAATCCTCATTACTTCAGGTAGTTGTAGGATTAGGACATAGACTTACTGATCGTGTTGGTAGTTATAAGAGTGTTAGGATAGTACATGTAGTTCTAGTTACTGTGGATAATTGTAAGAAGGTTTTCGAAATACAGAATCCACGTTGCTTAGTAGTTGTAAGGTTCAGACATGTACTCTCGTTGCTGTAGGTAGTTGTAAGGTTAAGACACGTACTCTCGTTGCTGTAGCTAGTTGTAAAGTTAAGGCATGTACTCTCGTTGCTGTAGGTAGTTGTAAGGTTAATACGTTCTCTCGTTGCTGTAGGTCGTTGTAAGGTTAAGACATGTACTCTCGTTGCTGTAGTTAGTTGTAAGGTTAAGACATGTACTTTCGTTGCTGTAGGTCGTTGTAAGGTTGAGACATGTTCTCTCGTTGCTATAGGTCGTTGTAAGGTTAAGACATGTTCTCTCGTTGCTGTAGGTAGTTGTAAGGTTAAGACATATACTCTCGTTGCTGTAGAGAGTTGTAAGGTTAAGACATGTACTCTCGTTGCTGTAGGTAGTTGTAAGGTTAATACGTACTCTCGTTGCTGTAGGTAGTTGTAAGGTTAAGACATGTGCTCTCGTTGCTGTAGGTAGTTGTAAGATTAAGACATGTACTCTCGTTGCTGTAGGTCGTTGTAAGGTTAAGACATGCACTCTCGTTGCTGTAGGTAGTTGTAAGGTTAATACGTTCTCTCGTTGCTGTAGGTAGTTGTAAGGTTAAGACATGTTCTCTCGTTGCTGTAGGTAGTTGTAAGGTTAATACGTACTCGCGTTGCTGTAGGTAGTTGTAAGGTTAAGACATGTACTCTCATTGCTGTAGGTAGTTGTAAGGTTAATACGTACTCTCGTTGCTGTAGGTAGTTGTAAGGTTGAGCTATGTTCTCTCGTTGCTGTAGGTCGTTGTAAGGTTGAGACATGTTCTGTCGTTGCTGTAGGTAGTTGTAAGGTTAAGACACGTACTCTCGTTGCTGAAGGTAGTTGTATTGTTAAGACATGTTCTCTCGTTGCTGTAGGTAGTTGTAAGGTTAAGACATGTTCTTTCGTTGCTATAGGTAGTTGTAAGGTTAAGACATGGTCTCTCGTTGCTATATGTAGGTGTAAGGTTAAGACATGTACTCGTTGCTATAGGTAGTTGTAAAAAGGTTAGGACTTCGACCAATCGTAACTTTGTGTAGCTGTTATAAGGTTAGGACTTCGACTAATCGTAACTTCGGATAGTTGTTATAAGGTTAGGACTTCGACTAGTCATTACTTTGGGAAATTGTAGTAAGTTTAGGACTTCGACTAATCGTTATTGTGGGAAGTTGTAATAAGGTTAGGACTGAGACAAATCGTTACTTTAGGTAGTTGTAATACAGTTAGAATATCGACAAATCGTTACTTTGGGTAGTTGTAATAAGGTTAGGACTTCGACCAATCGTAACTTTGGGTAGTTGTAATAAAGTTAGAATATCGACAAATCGTTACTTTGGGTAGTTGTAATAAGGTTAGGACTTCGACAAATCGTTACTTTTGGTAGTTTTAATAAGGTTAGGACTTAAACTAATCGTAACTTTGGGCAGGTAATAAGGTTAGGACTTCGACTAATCGTAACTTTGGGTAGTTGTAATAAGGTTAGGACTTAGACAAATCGTTACTTTGGGTAGTTGTTATAAGGTTATGACTTAGACAAATCGTAACTTTGGGTAGTTGTAATAAGGTTAGGATTTAGACAAATCATTACTTTGGGTAGTTGTTATAAAGTTAGGACTTAGATAAATCGTTACTTTGGGTAGTTGTTATAAGATTAGGACTCATACAACTCGTTACTTTGGGTAGTTGTTATAAGGTTAGGACTTAGACAAATCGTAACTTTGGGTAGTTGTAATAAGGTTAGGATTTAGACAAATCATTACTTTGGGTAGTTGTTATAAAGTTAGGACTTAGACAAATCGTTACTTTGGGTAGTTGTTATAAGATTAGGACTCAGACAAATCGTTACTTTGGGTAGTTGTTATAAGGTTAGGACTTAGACAAATCGTTACTTCGGTAGTTGTTATTAGGTTAGGACTTAGACAAATCGTTACTTTGGGTAGTTGTTATAAGATTAGGACTTAGACAAATAATTACTGGGGGTAGTTGTTATAAGGTTAGGACTTAGACAAATCGTAACTTTGGGTAGTTGTAATAAGGTTAGGACTTAGACAAATCGTTACTTCGGTAGTTGTTATTAGGTTAGGACTTAGACAAATCGTTACTTTGGGTAGTTGTTATAAGGTTAGGAC